GGTATGGTTTTCAGTTTAGAGAAGAAAGAGTACCTATTCTTTTTGTCAGCATCTAGTTAGCAGCTTTGTGACGGAACTCGGAGAAAAGTGTCAGAGTGAGAGTTTGAGCCGAGAGTGAACAGTGACAAGGACAGTTAGCGTCGGTTTATTGGGAACCTTTACATAGTGTACACGCATGATTTTTCGCTTGCATCTGAACTTGTAACTTCGATATATTGACTTTTAAAGTATTCCCTTAATTATAAGCCACAATTATTATCTTGAGCAATACGTAATTCCGTCGAGTAATCGTGTCAATTCTTTGATAGGCACAGTCTAACTGACTCATTAGCTTACTTCCAACCTCAGCCGGTGTCGATTACATTTATTCGTCACGTTTGCAAGTGGAAAATATATGAGTAGTATAATGCACCGGCTGGCCCGCGCATAACTGCACGCACGGTTCGCAGGTAATTGTCACGAAAGAATCGCCATCGCTTGGCCTACCGAAAACTCCGTTAACTACCATTAACAATCTCGTGTTTCGCGCGCGAGCGCACGGTCACTCAATCGCCGCTGCGCCGCTCGCGACGAACAATGTGCGCTTCGAGTGTCATTTATCGGCGGCCGCTGATATTTTGTCTGGTCGGCTTGCAGGCGACGTCGCGAATTCCACGTTGGCCTCTGCCGCCTATCGTCTGCGTACGATACGGCTGCTCTCGCGGCAGGCGGCCGCGTCCGAGCCTCCGTGGGATTCGTGGCTCGCTCGCGACGAGAGCGAGTCCTTCGATTGGAACTCGCGCGTCTCGTTGCGTTTGGCGTCGAAAAAAATAAGGCGTGCCGAGCGGCGAAACTGCTCGAGCGAAAGTGCTCGGACCAAGGTCTGAGTCTGAAAACCGTTCCACTTGTACGGACGCGCGCAGCCGAGAAAGAAGGAAATCCGACGTAATAAATAACGCTCTTTGCTCTTGCCGACCATCGAGAGCATAGAGCGCTTTTCTTCGTCGCGTTAAACCGTAATCCCCGCGCTCGCGTGCAAATTATTCGCGCGGTTGCGCAAAACTTCGCCGGTCTGGCCGGTCGATTAGGTTGTTTTACAATCTTTCAACTTTGAATACCGGTCCTCGCTACTGTCGTGTTTTTTCGCGCGGCAGTTCACGCCGACCACTGGCTTCGTCAGATCGTTCCTCGTGCGCGGTGCGTCTCTCTCACTCGCTGTCTGCGTTCAACGTCGTTTCAGCGACGAACATTTCACGTCGCCGACCTTATTTCTCGCGACGCGGAGTTGCGTTTTACCCCAATTGCTCCTGGCTGCGGACCGATAAACGGGAGTAAAAACGCCAATTGGCTTTTAAATGATTACAATGTCGACGGCAGTGGCGCAGTGCACTCCGCGGGCACTGCCTAACCTATTTCTGTAACGGGAGTGCGCTCTTAAAACCGACGTTCAGCTCCAGTCGACAACTAAAAGATTTGACTGTTTTGATAAACGTATGGGGTCCCATAAGCTCTAAGTCGAGGAACAAAGACCACGTTTCGCATCTTCACTCGCGGTCTTGACGAACCGCGACAGCCCCCCCCCCCCCCTCCTCTTTTTCGTAAAACGCACTTTGCGCCTTCCCTTAATCTTGATGGATTCGCTCGGCGCGCTTCTTTTGATAACTGACTCTCACTCGGATTTCACGGCTTAGCTCTCTCCCACCGACAGAAGATATATTATAACGAGGCTGCACCTGTGTGCAGCCGTGACACACAGCCAAGCGGTAAACGTCCTGCTCGACTCCGATACTCTTGACGTGTAATAAAAGTTCAGCGCGCTTATTTTTTTCCCTTCTTCTCTGCTGTGTTATATGCACCGTGCCAGATTTCATTTCCGATTCTCGCGGCTTTTTTTTTCTTTTTTCAACTTTGCTTATACCAGTTGCTTAACGAGTTGCTCGCTCATTTTTTTACGGATCTGCGTTTATTTTTCGGCTTTGCAAGTGCACAGCCCCCATTTTTTCCCAGGGCTAACGCTTGCATGTAGTTTTGCTTTATGGCATTTGTCTTTTTGAATAAAATATTTTTTCAACATCTGTCGTAATTTTATTTTTGGTGATGTGTATTTCGTTAGCGCCCATTCTTTCTTTCAGCACGTTTTTGTGTTTTACGTACTACTATATATCATTTAGCTAGGATGAATATCTACAACTATATGTCGATACCATTTTTATAACAACTCGATAAAACGTTTCTCTGGTCGTCAAATAACCAAATTGCATTAATTAATTTCATTATATTATAAAAAAACAATTCAATTTCCAATCGAACATGAATGAAGTATACTGTACCATTTAACTAAAACAAATATGCTCCAGTCTAAAAAGAATCATCGTAACGTTGACAGATCAGTGACCACAATATGTAATTGTTCATCCTTCAGAAATCAGAAAAAAAATGAGAAACTAAACGACACACATGCTATACGCGCTTTCACACACTGGGACGCATGTAATTAAGATCGTTGTCGAAAGTAATTCGACGCGTGGGTGTCGTACCCATCTTCAATAAGCAAAAAAAAAACCGTAAAAAATACAGAGAAGCGCACCCGTTTAAAAGATCGCTGCGCGCGTGTCGTCAGATGAAAAAAAAAACCAATATGCGCAAATGTCGATTTTGCGTCGTGAATTTTTTTCGTGCGTGTCAACGTACTCGACTCTGTGCTATTAATATATTTCGTCCTAGTGACATACGCACGAAAATGCCAAGTGAAATAACGCGTCGTCATGACGTTTAATCCTCGCGCGTACAAGCGGCACATCATCTTGACGTGCCCGTCTGTGTGCAAACATTCGAATTTTTCCGCGCTAATCGCGCACAGCATTTACATTGCTTGTATAATACGCGCGCGAACCGCGCGAGATTGATTCGAGGGGGCATAATCGAGGCTTCTTTTTTACCGGCGCGAGAGAGTTTTGATCGGATTCCACGTTCCTATTTTGGATTTCGAATGTGTCGTCGTTGATCTGAGTTTATTTCTCTCTTTCGCGGGATTGTTTTTATATGAATCCACGCTTGGAAATTTGCTAAGTAGTGGCAATTCATTTGTCGTCGGTCTACTTCATTTCGATAATCACGAGCTTGTGACTGACATGTACAGTTGTTGGATAAGTGAATGAATGATCAATCAATACTTGCTTTTTGTGACATAAGATTATGGGAAGGTGTTGAGTGAGTGGACGATTAATTATCTCAAGTTACGGTTATATATTTTCTTATACGTAGCACAATCGAGTGTTCTCAGAATTTACTATTTTAAAAGCGCCTCTTAAATGAAAGGTTATTCACACTTCGCACAAAAGAAAAGAAGCTCAACGCCAAAATTTTATCTTCGAACATACTTGTACGAAAATTGAAAAATATTGCATCGCTTCTCAAATTTTCGATCATTTTTTCCAAGCTTACAGTCGTAAAAATATCATGACGAATAGTAGTTGTAATTTGCGAAACAAAAACTAACTTTATAAGCATCTGTTACAAGCCGAAATAATTTTATTTTTCAAAACTTAATCTTGAAATATTTCTCAGCTTCCAAAACCTTCAACCATTTTTGTCAAGTTTTATACCCTCTGCTACCGTCATCAATATTCGTTTTGCTAATCTTTACAAAAAAGAAAATTTTCGGTCGATTTCGAAATTTGTTTATTCAAACGATTCTCTCATTCCACACCAATGTAACAACAAAGTAGCCTGCAAGGCTCTCAATCAAATTAATTTCTTTGATGCCATACTCTCTCTCTCTCAAAAAATAAGGTTCCATTAATTCAAGTTCATAACCCGGCACGATCCGTTTTTTATTCTCACAAAAAAAAAGCCGACACGCGTATCATAAAACATCTGCGTGTCTTTTCGCACGCCGGCAAAGGCATCTTTGGCCTGCATTTCGACAGTCCAATTTTCGTCGAATCTCGCACGCTTTTAATTACATTATTCCCGTCCTGAAAAAATCGAGCCAACTCAATTAACTCTCGCAAGTAACCCTTTTATCGTATTTTTCTCACCGAATTATTCGATGGTAGCATGATATACCTGAGGCTGTAGCAGCAGTGGACAGTCTTATCGAAGAGTTGTGCAGTTGCGCTTATGTACTGCAAGTTTTATCGTTGCTCGTAAAGTTGATACGTGAAAAATTTTCTAGTTATGTGGTAGCGGCTAACCGCTTATATATGATAATTTCATAGAGTCGAGGAGTAGGAACCGGAGAGTAATTTGCGCACTAGGACTCGCGCGCATGTCTCTATTTCAATATTGTGTCGATGATGTAGTCATAAAAGTTTGACTTATCTGGAATTACTGGCACAATAATAATTAGTTTATCTTTTACAATATTTCATGTGCTGTTTTCCATTTAGCGGAACGACTTCGCCGCTTCAAGTAAATGTCAGCGTTTTTCAAACCCGTAAAAAAATTTTTATGGAAAATTAGCCTTCATAATAATTGAAACAATTCAAACTCAAGTCAGCAAAATGTTTGCCTCTTTAACGGTCGGTGAAAGGACATTTAGATGCAATCACTATTATCGAAAAAGATAATCCTTGAAAATATCAGTTCAGTTCTCTATATTTTCCCCCGTTCAGAATTACTCGTGTCAAGTACGATTGCAGTCATGTGTATATATGCGATTGCGTAAAAAGGTCGACTTTTATCGGTATAAATCACTGCGTCGAATGATGAAGAAAAAAAGGAGATATGGAAAGTATGGCAATTCGTGTGGCGCCAAGTTGTGCAGTAGTAGCATTTTGTTGATTTGACAAATGGGCAAGGAGGGCAAGTCCGTTTTCTAAATTGATTCGCATTGCATTGCTTAATGGCATTCCTATACAAGAAAATTACGAGCTCATTGACTCCGCGTGATTCCTCGAGGTAGGGGAGAGTGATTCCCGCGACTCTTAATTAAATCAATCGTGACGCAGTCGCACATCTACGAATTCGTAATTTTTAACATAATTCCAAAGTAATCAATATTTTTTGGTCTGTTTCAGGTGAGCACACGCTTCGCATTTGGCACCACGTCGCGCGCCCACGTAAGTCGCAGCGCCATCGATTTAAAATTCAAATCGGCGCGAAAAAATCGTACATTTGTAAAACTGGAGCGAACGATCGACATACTGCTCGACCAAAAAAAAAAAGAAAAAACATACAAAACGATTATAGCTCCCACAGTCTCGTGCGTGCATGCAAATGATCGTTGACCCAGTGCCGATGGGCATACGCAGCGAGAAACGCGACCTACTATCGTTATATTTGCGAAGGGCTTGAGTGCGATTCCTTTTTCAAATAGATAAATACGTGGAGATTTATTATAGCGTCGTCGTGTGATTGAATCTATATACACAGTTTAAACGAGCTGATTGGAGAATATTAATCGCTTCTGATTACACTGCATTGTAGATTCGTCGTTAGATAATGTTTGTATAGAAATTTTCACTTATATATGCAAAAGATACAGATGGAATTAATCGTCGTAATATATTTCCTCGAGATAACCTATACTGGATTGCACTTTATTAAGTGCGCGATGTTGTATATGATGGTTTTTTTTTGTTCTCGCAGATACACTCGGGATTGAATTTATTTCTGCAAATCTCCCGAGCCCGCGCGCGCACACACACATATCGGGTTTTTTTGAAAACCCTTCGCGTCGACCGGTGAAAGTATACAAGAAGAAAAGTGTGTCATGGATTTTAATGGATTATAAAGTAATCATTTAACTTATCGACAAGCTCGCGGTAAAAAACGAAAGAACGAAAATTTTCTCACCTTGCGCAAAAAATACGAGGCCGCTAACGAGACTATTTCGCGGCGTGAAATGCACTTTAATATGTATATTAAGGGCTTCGCGTCTCACACACGCACACACACGCACACACACACACAAAACTGGAAAGTCACGTCTGGCCAATATTGATATATGCGTCGCGTGGCTATTTTACATTTTCGCGTGCAGCGACAAAAAGATTGGGATGGGGGAGGAAAGCGACTTGACAGCCTATATTGTGGGTGGCGGATCTGTGTATGCGTGTAAAGCAAGGCCATCCTTCTGAATGACGTTTTTTCCGTGACGAGTGAAATATAGTTCGTCAAACCAGTTTTACAAACCCAACTCTGTTTTCTCAGCGTATTATAATTGTAACGATAACGGTCGTCGCAGCCGCCTCTTATACGATAATGTAAGTTATGGAGGGAAGGTTGACAAATTTTATGATGCTTGGATGTTGTTTTTGGTTTTTGCCTCTTGTGTTAATGGTCGCGGAAATGTAAAAGGCGTATGCACGTGGGTATTTCGTTAATTTTAGTGATTTACTGTTGTTACTTCAACGTTTTACGCGTATCGTACTCGTCTTATTTTCTGATGCCTCGCTTTTCATTTTAACCAATGCTGCTTTACCGTGAGTTTATTAAAAATTTTGTACATTGAAAAAAATTATTTCCGCGGCTCTCCGGTAAAACGCGTCGGCCCATTTTCGTCGTTTGTATAAAATACACAATTTCGCCAAGTTATTCGCAAATAAACCGCAGATTCGAAGTATCGGAGACCCCTATGGGAACGCAACTATTTTTCTTTGAAGATGAAAATTGTCCCAGTGGAATGAGCAAATCGTACTGACACTTTTAACACCAAGAGCGCCGACCGAAAAATAAAAGAAAGAGAAAAATTGAAAGTCCTTTATCGCGGATGATCCAGCGATATTTCCGACAATCGTCAACATCAGCGGCGCTCCTTAATGCATGTACTCTCGCTCTCCGCCGCCTGTAATGAATTGCTCAGTGCGCAAGCGGGCGACCTTACGTCTTCTTTTTTATTTCGTTCCTCTTCGCAGAACCGCGCACGCCTTAAGATCCCTGATTTTGCACTTTGCGCGCACGCCCGCACACTCGCATCTTCGAGATCTTCGAGATCTTCGAGATCTTTCTCGCGTCGTTTCATTTTTTTTCTCTTTCTCTCTTCTTTTTTTTTTCATTTTTTTATCTGCGTTGACTTTTTTCCCCTTTATTCGGTGGGAGCTGCGTGAGGGTAAGAAAGCATAACGCATGCCCGATTGTAATCGCCTTGGGATTTATCATGTTCACGGCGTTTCAACGCGTATTAGCCACCGAAATGGTCAATTACGTTTTCGGGTGGATATAAATAACGCGCTGCGTGAATTATGAAATCGTTATTTGCGAGTAGAGCCGAGCGCGAGGCTCTTGAAAGACGCCGTGATGTCAGTGCGGCTTTTTTTTATAAATCAGAGCTGCGCTTTTATTATAATTAATTGTGCCCCAATGAAATCCATTCATAAAGAATCTTTGCGTGATCCTCCAGAAAGATCGCAAATTTAACATTTACACGCGTATCGTTCGCAGTTGCACTCTGAAAACCGTTCAGTATGCGTATCCTCCCAATCCGATGTATCTACAGTTTCAACGAAAATGTATGTCATTTGTGAGAAAACGCGTGTTTCTCTTTTTTTCTTCTTCTTTCCCGACGTCATTCGGCAATTTCATAATGCGGAACCGCGCGAGAAGTGGGAAATCGACGTGCATTAAGCGATAAAAAAATATCAAATCTTGAGGCGCGTCGACAGCAGTGAATGCCGATACGCGCAAAAGTCAATGGAAAAATTAATGGCACCTTTTAAAGACCAATTCGGAGTGCAGTTGACGAAATAAATGAAGTTTCCGTGTTATATCTTTACGGAAGTTTTAGCGTGTACGCGTTATAGTAGCTCGACACGGATTTAAAGTGAAAAAGTGCGTTGCCTTGCGCATTAACGTTTGTTTATCTCGTGGGAGCACCTGCAACGATATCAAACAGTCTGAGATATTAATTAAGTGTTGCGGGTCTTTGCTGACAAGTATAGGTTGTCGTTCGACTTTCATCTATACAATTTCCGCGTATGCGCGCAGTTTACGTCATCGTATAGAATCATTGAAAATTCGTACCGACACTCGATATCATACTATCTCGAGCGCACTACTTTGTACAATTTAATATTCAACGCCAAATATTGAAAGTGTAAGCAGGAATGCCGACTCGGTCTAAACGCTTTAAATGGATTTTCACTTCATTCAAAAGCTTCCATTTCCATTAGGTCGGCTATTCTCTTTCAGGCTTATACGATCAAGATAATACGATCACTCTATGCAAATCTTACGCTTCTTTTTGGGCTATCGTTTCCAGGTATTTATAAACTCTATACTTTGCTGGCACCGTAAACAAGCATTTTTGCTAATCGAAACCAACGCGTAATTAGATAAGAACTTGGCAAACGTCGAGACACGTGTATTATATTCATTAGCATGCGGCGCCAGTAACCCGATGTTAAAATCAAAAAGGAAAGAGACAACGCGATAGGTGCACGTTTTTGGGCGTTGCGGTTTTGTCATTGAGCTTACATACTCGAATAATGTTGCCACGTGACTTTTGTTTTGTTCAATTGCACATTTACTTTTATCAATAGCGATTACGACTTGGTTTTTTTAACTCGTGTACTAATTTGTCAATCGAAAATTCAGATTAGAATAATACCAATCAAACGTTTCGTTAATGCGTCATTCGAAGTTTTTTTTTTTTGTAAGATTAAAATTTCGCATGTTTCGACTAACCAAACTTTTTACGCGTTGTTTTCCACTTGCAAACTGCCAAGATTTTTTTCTTCGATCCGCGTAAGACAAGACGGCAATTATTAATTAGTCAAGCGAGTCCATTATTCATTATTGGCACATTCGATTTAATTGATAATGATACCGCGATCTCTTTTTTTGTAATTCTATCTTTCCACGTGCTTTGATTGTCAAGCTCGCAATTGATTTCGAAATGCCGCGGTTTATTTATTGAAAGTATGCGTAAACTCGATATCATTTCTTTCAATGTTAATGCAAAATTAATTCAAGCTGCACATGCGCGATAGTTTTGATTTATAAACCGTGAAGATTAATATCTTTAATTTAAACTAGAAAAGTATATATCCAATGCGCATATTATGCATGATAAAAAAAATGCTGTTGTATGCTATTCCACTAATTTACGTAAAATAAATCATAATAAGTAGAAAGAGATTGAAATTTTCGTTCCACCGTCGTTGTAAACGATTACAAGTCATTGGAAATAGCCGATTAATTTGATTCAAAATTACATCAAGCGAAACTCTTTAATTAATAACCGCACGGAAAAAGCTGAATGAAAGCGCTGCTAATTGTCAAACAACTTTAACTCGCTAATGTAAGTGACCGTATGGTGTGGTGACTCGCTACCGACGCATGGACCGACTTAGGGAGCATTTAATCGCATTCGTCAGATCGTCATCCACAAAGGTGCCAGCGAAAAAAACTATTAACGAGCCAGCTTTGTGCACTTATATACACACAAATTTCGATAATTTTCCACATACATGCAAGTTTATTGATATTATGTATTATACTACTACTCAAGATGCCACACTTTGTTATTGATTATGTTTTAACTACTTTTCAAGTTTTGAATTCCACACTTTCCTTCGCAATATTTGTACGTGTCTCAAAGAATATTAAAAATCACATATTTCAGTTAAAGTATTTTATATTCGAGGCAAAACTCGTCTGTCGCATTCTTCCTCGAAACTATGCAAAACTGTCTATCATTACTTAGCTAGTATAATTAACCGGCAAAATAAGGAAAAACTATAACCGATTCGGGAAAAAATACTCGACAATGTATTTCAAAAAATAATAAAAAATACGAACCAGCACGTCCCTACTATATAATTCACAGAGGGTTCGAAGACATGACTGTCAAATAAATCATTATAAAAATTCCGATATAAAAACACTCCAAAATAATTTGTCAACTTTATTATTAATGTTCAGCCAATATTTTTGAAATTTTAAATTCTTGAAAACTAATAACCATGAAAATAGATGAGATATCACTGTATTCAATCGATATTTTTTGTGCGTTCAATCGTACTTTATTTCACATCATAGTACATGTTAATTTCTAGCTGGTGAGAAAATCTCTCACGCTTGTTTTTAGTGAGTGAATTCATTTTATTAAGTGAATGTA